CCCCAAAACCCCAAAACCCCAAAACCCCAAAACCCCAAAACCCCTTAAAAATAACATAGCATTGAAAGAACAAGAAGAAGGGCTTTAGAAGGAATTTTAAATCGTATGTAAACTATTAGTACTTTTTCATTCTGAAGTTCTCAGTCTGTTTCAAGAATGCCTCGATGTAGCCATTAACCTTCTTTCTCAAATTAATGTTGTCTGTAAAGATATGCTTGATCATCTTATAAATATCATATGTCACGTCTTCATTATTTTTGGTAATCTTTTCATTGTATTTCTCGATTTCGCTCAGCTTTGCACGACCTAGAGACTCCATGAGAGAAGGAGAGAATAAGTAAGCGGGTAAGTAAAATGTAAAACTAGTCTTACTTTCTTCAAGGATGTCAAAAGCCCCTCCCATATCGGGATTTTCTTGAGCAATGACATCGAATTCAGTGAGGATAGATTTCTTAAACAATCTATAAAATTTCTTGACAAGGTCTTCTATCTCATTTTCATTCTTGCTCAGATAGTCTTTAGTGATATATGTCTTTAACTCATCGATTGCTGATTTGAAGACTTTCTCTCGTTCCTCCAGGTTATCTATGAGGATGAATATCGAAGTTTGGTCCAAGAAATTAGCAATATTCTTAAAGTAATAGTGAAGATACTGTTGGAAATGGTCTTCCAGCTCCTTCTAGCTTAAGAATGAAATTTTAGGCTAAAAGATTACAGATATTTTCAAGATCTTGGTCAAGTTTTCTCTTTTCTCTCTCTGCCCTCTTAATATTCTTGTTTAACTGGAAGATCAGTTTTTGGTTTTTCATTTGATCTTCTGAGTCATCTAGATGATTACCATTCTCTCGTTACCAGTAGGTTTTTCACCAACAAATTTTTGGAGTTCGTTCTTGAATGAGATTATTTCTTGCTTCAATTCATCAATCCTAATGGTATTGGAGGCCTTCACTTTTTCAGCTTCCTCTCTTTCATTTTGAGTCTGAGCAATCATCTTTGTGAGGTTTGTGATGCTCTTGTTTCCTTCAATGGAACCACCCAAGATGATTTTATTTTCACTCTTGAGGAACTTCTCGAGCATTTCCTCTGTTCTGGATTTAAGAAGATTTTCAAGCCTCTTCTTCTCTTTATTTAAGCTTGTAGTTTTCAAGGCTTAGTTGTTCGATTCTTCTGTCGTTCTGATGGAGTTGATTCACCTTATTGTTCTCAATATTAAAAGCCATTGTATTGAGATCATGAGAATTTAAATTGAACATCATATCATAAGTGTTGGTATCATGATCCATGGGAGCTCCTAATTTTAGGACATCTAGCTTGATCTCTGTTGGACAGATAATAATATCAGCCTTTGCGTGCTTCTTATTAGCAAATAACTTGTTGTACTTGTTCCATCCCCAGGAGTAGATCTTACGCTTATCCTTTCTGTCTTTGTTCATTTCTATATTTATGAATTTTGCTTACGAGGTGTTCAAATTGCCATAGAGATGCAGTCCCCTGCAAATATCTAAATATAAGGCAATTTTTGTACATCGCTAATATCTTCTGGGATGTCTAACCTTGTCGGTAAGCTCTTCTTGCTAAAATATAATGCAAGAGTTTTACTCTCCTTTAGATCCTATTCCCAGTTGTCCTTTGCTATTCTTCCCCCAAGCATAGATTTTTCCTTTTGTAGTCAAAGCTAGTACATGATTCTTTCCAGTCGCTATATAAGGGTGAAAAGAGGAGATTACCAATTTTATTTGATCAGTTCATTGTCCCCAACTATGACCTGCCCAGGTTTATCAATAGAATCCTCTGGAGCAATATCTCTTCCTAGGCATGGTGAGTTACCTCCAAAGCTGAAGAGAGTATTGTCTGCTTTCAATATGAATGTATTCATTTGAGTGAACTCTATTTGCAGCTTATGATCAACCTTTTCTTCTTCCTCATAGTCAAAATCTATAGCACCTCCACCCGTAGTGGTCATCTCTATGGATTATTCATCGAGCTTACGTTTCAAAGTACTTGCCATTAAAATAATTCAATTATTATCGAAGTATATGGGGTTTTGGGGTTTTGGGGTTTTGGGGTTTTGGGGTTTTGGGG